TCCAGGTTTAGTGTTAATTACTGTGCCTGCAATTTGTAAAATGTAAAAACTGGTAGAGTTTTAGAATCCTGTGACTGCAAAATTGTCTCTGGGGATACGCTTTACAGAGAAATGGGAGTGAGAATATTTTATGTGGAAGAGAGAATTAGGGAGGTTCCACTGTATCGGGTCTGATATTTTATCTACTTGCCAACAGCTTGGAGTAGGAATTGGCTAATGTGTTGGTGAAGTTTGTTGGTGACAATTTAATTGTTTCTGTTATTAAATGCTGCGGAGGATTTTGAGGGACTCCGGATACTCATAAACTCCTTCATCATTTGGTGACTGTGATGTTGTGAGATGTTTCCTTTGAATTAAACATGGTAATGTGCTTTATAAAACATAGCAAAAAAGAAACTGTGAGCTTGAAAGTTTCTGTACCTTAAAGACTTTTTGGGGGACTTGATCCTTTTGGGTCCCTTCCAACTTGAGATATTCTATGATTTTACAGTATGGTTGAAGGTAAACACCCATTCTACAGAAGCTATTTGTATTTTTTTTTTTTTTGGCAGCTCTTGGAAAGGATGCCAAAATCTGTAAGATTTTGGAGCAGTTTATGTTTATCTGGAGCGTTCCCCAACCTGATTGCTTCCTCCTAAAGGTGGTAGTAGTGGGAAAGGATGAAAAGGTCATGAAGATGGTTAGAGGTGTTGAGTGTGGTTGTGACATGAGACTGCAGCTGAGAACTGCTGAGCTTCAAGAGTCCCTTCCAGGAGGGACCTGACTGAGGGCATTCAAAAGTTTAAGACTTCATGAAAACTAACCGGTTGCTCTGCTTTCACCCCGAAGAGGAGGGAAATTCAAAGGCCAGTCAAGAGTAAATTTGAGAGAAATGCTTCCTGGCTGATTCCTTGTGGAAATTGAAAAGGCGTTTGCATGCAGCGTCACGTTGTGACGTGTGACGTGATGCTTTGGGTACTGCTTGCTGCCCACAGTGGGGAAAACAGACTCATTGAACCAGGGCTCTGATCTAATATATCTCTGTAGGGTTTGTACTGCACATACTGTGATATGTTAGGTAAGAAACTGTACTATTTGTATTTACTTGCCTAGACAGTCACGCTTAGATGTAGCATTCAAACTCCAGTGTGTCTCTCACTGTTCTGCTGGTTGTGCAGGCAATATTTAACCTTTTAGTGCCTCAGTCAGCTAGCAAAGGGGATTATTCCGGGCCACCGTCACGCAGTGCCATGCCTGGAATAAAAGCCGAAGAGCTTCCAGGCCTGCAGACTTGCAAATGGGCAGCACAGACTCCCAGTGTTGTTATTTTTGTTAATTAAAAGGCTAAAAAAGTTTAAATCCACCAAAGTTTCTTCTAATACTCAAATAATCGTCGTTTGATTGTGTGATTCGTTGACCTCGTGTGCAGGCTTTCTAGTGAAATGTATAAGAGGAATTACAGTAGGAGGAGCTTCTTAAAAGCAAAAATGGAAAAACCATGTAAATAAGTTGAATTGGTAATTCCCCGCTAACACAAGAGCTAGTGCTAGACTAAAGCAGCAATTATGGTCCGACCATGTTGTTGTTTCATGGTTGAACTTGTGACTCCTGCATCTTTTTTAACTCACAGTGCATTTCTAACGCTCTGACCACACAGCTGATGCTCAGACACTAAAGCTACTTTAAGAGTGAGTGGTAGTGTTTGAAAGCTGACTGGAAACCAGTATGTTTAGACGTAGAATGTACACTGGTGTGGGTTCTTGGTTTTGTTGTTTGGGTTTTTTTAATTACTATTTTCAGATTTGATCCCGCAGCGCAGATAAAAAAAAATTGTCAGCAATTGATTTGTACAAACTTTCGCAAAGTAACTTCCTTCCTATTGTCTCCGTTCCTTACTTTAATATGCCATCCGATAATATTTTAAGGAGAGAAATGTCAGAGTTGCGAAGGCTTTCTTTCAAACTGTATCTGTTGGCTTGGATAAAATACTCCTAGCTGATACCGTAAGTACACATCTTGACATAGATGGATTTGTTATTTTTGCACCAGAAACCCTAATGTTTTGCAGTATGAAGTGCACTTTTTCGTAAAAAAACAAAAACTTGTATTCATGTCTGATTAGTGTCTTGTGTGATGAAAGTGATATTCTGCCAAACCTCCAAAGCTGAGGATATTGTTGATTCTTCATCGTATTAATTGAAACCTGAGATTCGCTTCTGCTCAGTCTATTTTAAGACAAAGTAGAGAAGAAAATGCCTCCCCATAGGTAGGAATTAAATATAGGAAATTAAACTATACACTGCCCTTAAATAAAACTCTGTGCTACTTAAATACACATTCAGGTTTTCTATTGCACCAGCTTCTTAAATTGCAAATGTTTACTTTGATTAAACAGGGAGTGCCTTGTCCTGTGCTGGGCTCGCGGTTGGGAAGCAGAGTGGTGGTGATGGGGACGGACAAGCCATCTGCGCGTGAGGTGGGTGGAAAGGCTGGGCTTTCGGCGCTGGGAGAAACTGCCGAACTTGGTCGGTATCCCCTTTATCTAAGGATGCTCTTCAGAAACTGCACTGAATTGGGTTCTCGAGCTTTTCTGACACACTCTCGGACCCAACAAAGGAAAAACCAGAATATTTCCTACTTGTATCTCTCAATTAGGTTGGCCAAATTTGTGAGGGTTATTCTGTCTCTTCTTTAAGGTTAGGTGTTTTGTTCGGACTCTGTTGTGCACGTTACAGCATCACTCAGCCTCTTGGCTCCTCTGTTTGTTAATTGTGGTGAAATAAGTTGTCTGTCTGGGTATCTCAGGTGTTGCCGATGTCGCGCTTAGCAGGACTCTTGGAGCTACAATTCTAAATCTGTTGGGGCTTCTGGTTTTCTCAGTGTGTTCTTGCAGTGCCTTGTAAAACCAAACAATCTAGTGTGTCACAAAAGGGCTGTGTAATAAAGAACCGTTAACATACTTTCAGCTTGCTATTGCTAGACTGGACTTTGTAACTGAAAATTTAAACTGATGTTTCAAAGTAAATAAAAGAGTTTAACTCTGACTCCTGGTGTTCTTTAACAGGCGGCAGAAGTCATCATTTTTAAAGATGGTTTTTTAGGGTAGTAATTACATATCGGCGATCGTGGACTGACCAGATAACAGCATATTTGGTTTTCTACCATTCCCTAAGCACCTGCTGCTGCTGGAGAAGAGCCCTTGGACTCTGAGGGTCCCCTGCCCTGTCCTGTGGGGCTGTTTTTCAGCACAGGAACAGACGCAATCTAGGCTCGTTCTCTTAGATCTCAGCTGGATATCTCAGATGTGTGTATCATTTTATTCAGAAGACTCTTTGGAAGTTTTATCTTACCATCATCTATTACGTATGTGTGTTTCTTTTTACCTATTCTGTTCTTTCTTTTGAGGTAAATTTGCCAGCTTTAGCTTAGACCGTGTAGCCTAACGGAGCAACAGACTCTTCTAAACAGAGTGCTGCACTGAAATATTTATGCAAAAATTGTTCAACATTACTGGTGTGAAGATAGAGGCCCAGGGAGTGTGTCCTTCCCCTGATTCGACGAAGACTCTTTTAAAGCATGCAGCAGCACAGTTAGTTCTTGAGACCCTGTAATTCTGAAAACTTTGGGGAACAAAAACCACTTAACAGTTTTTTGCTAGTTTGAGACACATCTCACTCCGAGCTGGGTAATTCCCAGAGGCAGTGGTGAAAAGATCTGATTAATAAACCACCTTGTACGCTTCTCATGTTGAAAACACCAGTTCTACTAATTTTTGGTTTTTTTAATTCTTGTTCTTCCCAAGGACAGGTTTAATAAAAGCTCTCCCTGGGTCTTGGAGAGTGGAGTTTGGAGCTGCGGTCCTCCAGCGATTGGAATTGCCTCCCTGGAATCAGGACAAGACTAACTCTGGGTTTACCCCCCCCCCCCCCCGCCTTCACTTAAAAACAAAAACCCCCAAACCTCTTCTTTCTTCTTAGATGAAGTATCTGCGTGGCCCAGTCTGCACATGTGGATGCTCTGGGATCCGCAGCGGCTGGAGCACGAGCGTCAGGGCTGCGTTCTGCACGTCAGTGAAGAGCAAGGCTGAACGGGCTGTGAGGTTTCTTGGCGAGCAGGTCTGTTCAGAAGACCAGAAGGGGAATGGCACGCTCCGGCAGGGTTCAGAGGGATTCCCAAAACTTCTTGGGAGATACCCGTGTGCCACAGGGCCGGACAGGCAGTCGCTTTCCTGGGGGAAGGTGTTAAAGTCTGGTAATGCTTTGGGGTGTGCGACATCAGATGCACGAGGAGCTGGTGATCACAGCTCATCCGATTGACTCCTTCGGTTTCCTTTTTAGTTTGACTTTCGTAGCCATATCATGCAAAGTCTGCATTGCCCGGTGAACCCTAAACCTTTTTTCAGGCTTTTCCAGATCTGTCAGTTAATAAAATATTTCTGCTTTACATACCCTTTACTGTTCTCACACAGGCTTAAATGGCAGCAGTAGCAGCTCCCCCTCTCTGTAGACCTAGTCTTGACCAAAGGGGGTTTCGGCAATGAAGACTTGTGGGACACACCAGGTGACCGTTGTGATTCCGCAGTTGGCTTTGATCTGCAGCCTGCAAATCCCTCGCAGGCTTCCTAAGCCACTTGGGAACCCCCTGGAAGGCATTTTCTAGCCAGATTTCTTCTGCCATTTATTCTTTTCTAGAGGAAGAGCTCCCTCGAGGATTGTGAGAAGATGAGCAGCGTGTCTGGAAGCTGCTGGGGTGCACCGTTGCATGCTGCTTTTCTGGAGAGCAACCCCGGAGCTCTCCCCGTCTTCCCCAAGAGCATCTTCTTGCCTTGCCGGGCTGTTCCAGCGCTGTCGGCTGAGCGCCACTGGCTGCCATGGCAGTTGCTTCTTTTGGGATGTGATGTCACCTGGCTTCGGCTGAGGACAGGCAGAAGCCCTGTGTTGGCTGCTTTCAGGCCTGTTCCTGCTTCCGCTGGTCCTGACTGGGAGCAAACTGGGGTGGCGGGGAAGTGCTGGTGCCACCAGATGGTGCTGCCATACAGCCGGACCGCGGACGGCTTCACCCCAGTGAGCTGGACCGGGACAGCCCGGCACAGGTACAACATCTCACCAGCTTCAGCTTGGTCCTGGGGGGTTTCTCGTGGTTCTGCCTTTCACCACCTCTGGCGTTAGAGGAGACATCACCGTGAAGGAACAGCATCAGGTCCCTGCAACGCAAGGGTGTTTGTGATTCAGCATTTACCCCTCGCCAGCTGCTCCGCGGGCAGGTTGGGTGTCGTATTTATTGCCGCAAGGCACGGTTTTGCTAAGACCGAGGGCTAAAGCCTGCCCTGGGTAAAGCCCAGAGCCAACCCAGCGTGGTGAGGTGGGACGGGGCTCGGGGAGGTCACACTGTGGTCCTCGCCCAAAAGCTGTGAGGACTTTACCGTGCCCCTGGTCTGGAGAGTTAGTGGTGATTTGTGACTGGAGGGGAGATCAGAAGGGAAAAAACTTTACAGTTCTTTTTGAATCTCTGGCTTTTCTGTCTTTTTTTTTTTTTTTTTACATCCTAGCTCTGGGAATGGGTTTTTTCGCAAGCTGCCATGGAGACCTTGCTGAGTTCTCCAGCCTTTTCTTCAGAGAGGGAGCGCTCCGTTGTTCTCCTGCTCTCGTTACACTCGCTGATACCCAGCGGGTGATGGGCACCGGGGAGGTTTGAGATCCCGTGAGCCAACCCCTGATGAAATCACTCTCCTTTTAATTCCCTTTATAAGGTGATAAGCTTTTCCTGTAAGGCGGTGTTTCCAGAGTGATGTCATGCTGTTAGGTAAGCCATGTGTTGACGAGGTCGTTTGGCAACCAGAACTCTCTGGAGGGAGAGATCGAAGGTTTTGCGAGGAAGCTCGTTGTAGAGCATCCCGCTTGGGTCCCTTGGCCACAGGTCCAGAGACCTGGGGAGGAGACCTCTTCGGTGGACCGGCTACTCGTAGATCTTCACCTTCTTTCTTGTAACAGCCTCGTCTGTTCCCCCTTGTCCTCCCCCACTCCTAGAGCCCTCCAAACCCTTCGTAAACGAGGTGGGATTTTTGGGCAGCGTCCATCTGGCAGGCTGCGCGCCCTCCGCATTTTCCCAGCTTGCAAATCAAAGCTGACCTCAAGCAACGGTGCCGGAGAGCCCACCCTCTCCTACAGCCGCTGCTGGAGGGTTCCCCAGAGCTTCAATCAGAAACTTGCAGCTGTGGATCTGGTGCAAGGGAATGGCTGGAATTTCCTGCCTGCTCGGAGCAGCCCTCGTTGCCTTCGCTGGAGGCATGTGCGGGCAGGTCCCGGGTCAGGGTTCGCTGCTTCTCGCACCCTGGGCTGGGTGGCTGGGGATGGACAGGCTCCCGGAGCAGCAGAGACTTCCCGGTATGCACTTCCCGTGCCAGGGATGATGTTCTGGCCGGGTATTTCCCTGTGCCGGGGCTCCTCGCCATGGCATTTCAACCACACTTTTTGTTTTGTTTTGTTTTGTTTTTTTTTCTTTTCCCCTTGCTGCTTGGAGGTACCTCATTGTCCAACTCCAGCCTTTCAGGAGATATAAATGGATATTCACCACCTACCTCTGCTACGGGCCAGGGTTTTCTTGGCCAGTTCCCAACCAGTATCACGGCTCAGGCCTGGGTGAAAGTCTCTTTTTGCTCCCCGCTGCGGTGGATGCTCTGGCGCGGAGGCAGCGTGCCCTGTGTATACAGCCCTTCCCCGAGTCACGCTCCAGTGACTAATTCTCTCCTGGCGGGTGCACGAAGCCTGGTCCGTGCCCACGTTCACAAATAAATAAATAAATTTCTTTCTGTTGGAGGTTAGACTAACTCCAACCTCCTCTAATTCTACAGCAGCTTGCTTTCGCATGCCTCATCCAAGATTGTGCCTTAAAAAACCATCCAGGCTCTTAAAATCCTTTGGTTTTAAGGAGCTTTCCGGGTTGTCCCTCCCTTGTAGCATCTCCTGAGGCTTTCCTTGGTAAAAGAGGTGCTGCTGTGGGATGTGCCTAGGTTGGATTTGATTTCCTTCACCTATTTCCCTCCCCTGCTCTGAACTGGAAAGCTTTTTTGGAGGAAAGATTTAGAGCTGACTCGAGTCCTTCCTGAGTGCGGCTTGGAGCCTGCACAAAGGCAGGTCCCCAGCCAGAGCTGCAGTTTTCGCTCTGCCACCGCCTTGTGCTTCACTTCTGGGCTCAGCACCACTGTCCCGAGGGAGCAGGATGGTCCCAAAAGCCTCGGTCTGGGGGTACCCGCCGCATCTGCACTAACAATGGAGGCGCAGGGCTGTTTTGGGATGTCAGAGGGGCAAGACACGTCCTCCTTTGAACAGCGAGAGGCTCTCACCGTGGAAAAGCTTCTTTTTCAAGCTGCTTCTCAATAACCATCGTTTTGATCCTGCCCAGGGGGAGCTCATTGCCTACTGCTCGCGCTGATGATGCTCTCAAGGCATTATACCACGTTTATACCTGCTGGAGGGGAAATACCTTTGCAAGCTGTAAAGCATCCTCGCCGGAGGACAGACCCTACCTGTAAATCTGTCCAGGGAGTCCGTTCCAGGAAAGATGCCCGTTGCAAGCGGAAAACTTCTTTGTGCTGAAAGCATTGCTGTAAGGAAGGCGTTCGGAGCGACGAGCAAGGATCTCTCAAGCGTGATTTTCCATTTTTGGCAGTTGGATTGGAGTAATTTCCTGCACTGCCCGGGCCGAGGGGGCTGGGAATTCAAGTTAAGCATTGACCACGGGTGCAATCGAGGCAGAAATGTCTTTTTCCAAGTGGAGCAGAAATTTCATTTTTGGCAGATGCTGTAATCTTGTAGCAAAGCTAAAAAAAAAAAGAAAAACATGATTCCCGCTGTGGCAGGGCAAAAGCTGCTTTTTGCTCACCTGACCCATCCTGTTTGTCTTTTATTTAGAAACGTCTAAAGGTCAAGACGGCTTCCACTCTGCCAATTCATCATGACAGCAGCCAACGCTGGGAAAACACGGGATGCGGCTTCCCAAACATCCCACGCCAGCAGCAGAGTGGCAGTCCTCACCTCCCATCCCTCCGCGCCCATTTCCCGACCTGGAATGGGACAGGATGGAACAAACTTTGTGCGTGATGCGACTGATGGACCATCCCAGAGGCCAGACAGGTTCCTCCACTGAGGGTTTTCTCATGCCGAATTACTCCTGGAAATGCTGAAGTTGCTTCCAGCCACCAACTTCCCTAAAGACCAAGCGCCGAGGGTTGCTTGGAACTTCACGTGGTGGCAGCAGATACGGGAAGCCGTGCTGCTCTGCCCTTCTTAGCCCTTGGCTAGAAAATGCATCGTGGGGAAGTATCATCTTCCTCACTTTGTGGTGGTTTGTAGAAAATATCCCTCTGCCAGCATCCAACTTGCTCAACCCGAGTGATTTCGGGGAGCACCCAAGGTCCTGGTAGGTCATGGGGAGCACCCAGCCTGACGCCATTTGCCTTGCGATGGGATGCTCTGGGTGATGGGATGCTGTAACCTCACTCCGTCGGTCCCAGGGGCTGAGGCGTGTCTGTTCTTGGGGGGCTTTGGCTTTCATCGGAGGCTCTCGGCGCCTTTTCGGGAGCCACTTGCTCAGCAGCCAGGAGGAACTGATCGACCTAAAATCCGGGGGGCAGCACTTCCCCTCTCGCTGCTTGCGATAACGAATGCTACAAAAATAACCGAGGTTTCTGCAAGCGCGTGTGGGCAAGCGCCCGTGGGGAAGTTTCACACTTTTTGGGGAATCAAAGCCCTCCAGAGCCCCCTCGTCTGTGCTCGCCCCCATCAGCGTCCCTCGTTCCGGGCTGGGGGGAGCAGAGCGGGGCTGGCCCCCCCCTCCCCTGGCCACGATCGCATCAAGCTGGAGAAGCGATTGCATTCAAGGAACCACAAAACTCCGGTTGCACGTGGCCAGTTTAGGGCTCGTCCCCTCGTTCTGCATGGCACTGGGAACTTCTCCGATCCTGCTCTGAACCCTGCTCAAGTTCCAGTTCAAGGCTGCAGCCAGCTTGCATTTCATGGGGAAGTGACTAATGTTCACGTTCCCCTTCCCATGTCTTCTGGTGTTTAATCTCAGCATTTGCAACGTCGCTTCTTTCCCCGGCGCTGGCTCAGCTGGGAGCCGCCGGTGGCTCTGGGGGATGCTCAGGATGGTAGCAAGCCTCTGCCATGTCCCCCACTGTGCTCCCTGCCCACCACCTCATGTCTGGAAGGGGAGAGAGAAGGCAAAAAGATTATTTACATCTTTCCTGGCTCAGCAGCACATACTCTGAGCTTTTCCTGGACTTTCTAGCAGCCTTTCCGGGTGCTGGCCTCCATGTGATGCTTTAATCACCAAAATTCCCATTTTCTCCCCTGCTCTCTGCATGTGGAGGAACAACGGCACGAGGACATCAGCTCCTCCTCACCCTCAGCCCCTGTCTCGGCCCCTCTGAGGTCTGGGAGTCCCCATGGCCAAGCGCTCTTATAAATCCCTGCTCTAGCTGCGTGCCGGGGAGGTGAGAGCTGCGCTGAGCTTGCACCTTGCTGAGGGATGCGCATGGGATGCGTTAACCGGAGAGGATCCTGCGTTCCTCTGGGAAGAGCCGTTGGATAAATCTGACCATCTGATGCAAGACGATGCGCTCATGGCCCAGCAAGGACCGGAGGAAACGTGGGATGCTGTTTATGCGTGGGGCTGAGGCTGTGCAATCGCATCTTGCAGGCTGGTGAGGACACGCTGGGACATTTCATAACA